TTTATCTGTTTAAATATCTTGTGCATTTGTTTATGTTTCTTCTTTTATCTCTTCAAGTATTTTGAGCATCTGTTTTTTGAGCTCTTTGCCTATAGTTTTGTCTACTTCAGTGTTTAGGAGGTCAGCTTTTGGGAAGTTAGTGGTTTGGGGAAAGGATATCTTTTTCCATGTTTTCTTATGTTTCTATTGTTTTGTGCTGTGGGTTAGAGTTAGGGTACAGAAGCTCTGTCGCTTCTGTGGAGATCGCTTTAGTCAGGTTCTAGCTCCCTCTGTTGTGTCCTTGCAGTGGTTGTGTTTTGTTTATTTCCCTCTTCAACCTATTCAGTGCAATACTTGAGGGTATTCTTAGTGTCCAGCCTTCTTCTGAGGGCTTGATCCCTAGCACCACAAAGAGAGAAGAAAATGAACCACAGGTATGTTGCCAACATGAAGACAAACAAGATATTAGCATACAGTGGAAACAGATTAAAATCAATAACTACACCTCCATTAAAAGTACAAAAGAAATCAGCAATAATAAGAGAGACAAAAACTAACCCATTACTGACACACTATAAGAGCCCATAATAGCTACAGCTATATCCTTAATAATAGCAAAGAGCTACGCAATAATAATTTAGACACAGATACAAATCAAATACTGACATAGAGTAAATACTAAAAACAACAAATTTACCATCATTAACAATCGAAAGAGAAAAAATTCAGCAGTAATAACATAGTCAACTAAATAGCTAAAAATTAATAAAGATTGATAGTAATAATATTAATGGAGGTAGTGGGGGAAGGGAAAAATGAAAGAAGTAAAATCTGAAAAAGAAAAAGAAAAGGCAGGCATGGTGGCACATGCCTGTAATCTCAGAATTTAGGATGCTGAGGCAGGAGGATCACCACGAGTTCAAGGCCAGCCTGGGCTACATAGTGAGTTCAAGGCCACTTTAAATTACATAGTGAGACCATGTCTCAAACACCAAAGCAACAACGACAAAAAAAAGGCATAAAAGAAAGTTAATAGAATGAAGTAAAAGTAACAGAAAAAGACAAACAAAACAAAGAAAAAGGAATAAAAGCAAACAGCAATAGATAAAAAACAAAGAAAAGTAGAAACAAGTCCAAAAAAATTCCTCCACCATGGTGGCACACACTTGTAATTCTAGCACTTGGGAGGCTGAGGCAGGAGGATCACCATGAGTTCAAGGCCAGCCTGGGCTACACAATGAGTTCAAGGCCAGGCTGAACTACATAGTGAGACCTTGTCTCAAAAAAAAACCAAAAACAAAAACACTTCTTCTACATGTTTGGATGAGTGGTTTCCCTCCAAAGCCTGTAGTATTGGAATCCACCCAGTATTTGTGGGAGACAGTAAGTCACGACTAGGTCCTATTTTACTACTCTGCTCTGTGACCCTTAAGTCCTGCCCAGCTGTTCTTACTGGGCATGATCAGCCAAGAGTATGTTGTCTGCCTCATGTCTGCCTTCACTCCAGCAGCTCCTAGGGTTTGTGCAGCTCCGTGTCTCAAATCACTGCTATCGCTCAGCTAACTCTGGCTTGTGGGCTCATGAGATTCCTCCCTCAGTCCATACACCCCAGGATGTGGCACTTATCCAAGCCAAAGCAAATTGCTCATAATGTCAGATAGGAGAAGCAAACAGACCACCGAGCTCTGTGCTGGAAACAGGCAGCAAGTGGAACTAAACAGTCTGCAGGACTTACTGTCAGCCATGAAGACCCAGCCCCCTCAGAAAACACCACATGACCGGCCTGACTTCTCATTACAGAGAGTGGGGCTGCCACATCTTTCACCACTGCTTAAACTGCTCAGGGCATCTGAGACCAGCCTGCCCATTCTCTGTGACTATCTCTTGTGCCTGTCTCCACCTTATGACAGAGTAACCCCAGGGAGCCTGAGGCAAAGTTGTTTTGTGACTTCTGACTCCAAAAGTAGCTCAATTTCTTTCCAAATGTCTTCTGACTACATCACTCCCAAGTATGGTGGACACTGTGGGGAATTTCTTCTCCAACTGTAGCTTGCTATGTGGAAGGGGTCAACTTCATAGTAACATCCCATGCTGTGTTTGCAGTTTACAATCCGGTGGCTTTTCTTGGGGTAGCACTGTTGGTTTATTGCTTCTCCCTGGGGCTGTTGACCCTCTCCAGGGACCTGGTTTAGTGTTCCAAGCTACTTCGTTCTTTTCTCTGCATTTTCTTCACTTTCTCTATAGTTTGTATTTTTCCTGTCAGCATTTTCTTGATTCCCGGAGTTCTACTTTTTTTCCTAAGTTGTTGCTTGCTAGGTGTTTCCATTCCAGGTCCAGAGAGGCTGTATTTAGCTATCAGGCTTTGTGCTGTCATTTTATATCTGTGCATGAAATCTAACTCTTTTACTTTAATTGTAATATAGCCAAAGAATAAACTAAACAAAGACATCTCTGTTTTTATGTGAACACTGGCCATTACATCTCTCACTCTAGGGCTCAGAACCTGAGATCTGGCCTCTCACTAAACCGTGACTGGCTTTAGATAACAAGAATAGTGTAAAATCTGAAGTTGATATAATAATGTTTAGTAATTAGACTATTCATATTGGCATTTTATCATATAGCTAGCCCTATATAAGCAGCCAAAATTTTACCAAGGAGATACTTGAACGTACATCAAAATAACATGAGAACAATGTACTGAGAGGTGGAAGGACACATTTCTGGAGAAGCTAGTGACACTGGGCGTGTTGCCCTCTCCTGGCAGTAGGTTAAGGTGCCACAGGTATGGTTGAGAGTGGCAGTAACAGTTGAGGCAGGGTTTGGAGCCCCTTTCTAGATACAGTTTGGCTCTCTGTTTTTATATGACTATTAATTATTCTACTATTTGGTTATACTTTCCTGCTGGATGTTTAATACCAAGTCAAAATAAGTACTGTTTGTCAAAATGAATCTATTTGTTTGTCAGGGCCAGTCAAGGTTCCTTGGGGGTTTTTTTGTGGGGCTGTGTCAGGAGCCTCTTACGCCTCTAGTTTCCCTTGTCCAGTTGTGTCATCTGCCAGAATGGGTCATGGTCTTCCTTCACCTTATGGCTTTTCTTAGAAGCTCAGAGACATTCTCCTCTTTAGTGAGGCTCTTTTTTGTAGAATGCACAAGAGCTGCCTCCTGTCCCCTGGGCTCCAACAATCCCCCAGCTTGGGAGGTTGGGTGACTCCCCAGGAGTGTAGTCATCTTGGAGGGGTCCTGTCATTTCCTGGGTCCCAGCTGATTGTGGAGGGCAAAGGCCAGAACACTGGTGGTGCTCTTCCCCTCCAACTCTTCTTAAACTTTGGCCTGGAGCCTCACTTGTTAGACACACAGGAGGTCAGTTCCACTGGTTTTGAAGTGGGACTGGTAGGTCTTAATCTTAATTGCTGTGACCCTTTTTGGAGGTTGGGACCCTCTGAAATATAAAATGTGGCAGGAGGACCCTTTTATTTAATAGCAGTTAGTATTAATATTGAGCGTTTATGCCAAATCTATCTGTTCTATAGGTGGTGGGCTGTCACCTTCACATACTGTTTAAGCTGTTTCTTAGAAGTCATTTTGGAAGGGAATGTCAGTAGACAGCAGTTATAAAGTTTTACAAAGAAATTATAAAAGGAAACTAATGAGAGCAAAATCAAATTCACATAAAGCACTAGTCTTGAACCAAGAAACATGGTTGATAAGTCTAGTGTTGCTTAGAGGTACCTGGTGCCAGCTCCCACGCTCCCTTCATCAGGATTCAACTTTCACAACACGCTCTTTGTTTTTGAAAATCAAGGTCTTTGGCTGACTTGTGCCCACGCAGGCAGATGGCTTCTGGAATGCAGACTTGAGGTCCAGGTCCTTGAATCCCAGGCCTGGGAGGCCTGCAGGGGGGGAGGGGGGAGCAAGTCTCTTCCCCCATCTTTTCCTGGAAGCAAGGAGGGACCCAGAAGCAGCCAATTGAGGCCCTGCCTTTTACTTGCCGTGTGGCCTCAGGAGAATCCTGCTGTTCAGAAGTGTGAATGGAGGGTCGGTAGGGGTTGGGGATATAGCTCAGTGGGATAAGCACCTGCCTGGCAAGTGCAAGTTCCTGAGTTCGATTTCCAGTACCAAAAAAAAAAAAAAAGAATGGAGGGTCAGTGAGGCGGGCCATAAAATAATTTACCAAGACCGGACCAAGAAAGAGATTTATTGTGCACCCCGTAAGGGAGCAGAGCTAGACCTCCTAGAGAGGGCTACGCTACCTGAGGAAAAGCAGGGGGACCTGTATAAGTGTTTCTGCATCCTAAGAAGTTACAGATGGGACCCATGGTCACGGGGAAAGGAAGTTACAGAGAAAAGGTCAGGCCATATGTTGTTTGTGTCCTTGGAGGTCTTTGATGCCCGTTATCGTTACCGTAAGGTTTGGTATCTGGATGATGGGTACTATAGTGGTCACACATGTTGTTTGCAGGAATGTTAATGGGTGTTTGCTGTAGGCTTCAGGAGCAGCTCATTTGAAAAGAGTGTGTGACTCAGGTAGACGGCAAAATAGAGGCCAAAATGACCTCACCCTGGCTGTATCCACAAATATCTTAGCCTTTCTGCGGGTGAGACCGCCTCTGAGTTGTCAGGGCCTTGATCCTCCCTCCCGATCTACAGGGGACTGGAGGAGGGTGCGCACCTGCTCCTGTGCCCTGCCCTCCAGCCCTCCCTGCATTGTGCCCAGAGTCCTGCCGGGAACCTGAACAGTGCTGAGAGGTGGGGCCCAGTCCTACTTCCCTGCCACTGGCATCAGTGACTCCCTTTGCAACCCCGGTGTCCTGTGCAGGGGGCTGTCTCCAACTCAGGTCCCCTGTGAGGAGCCAGGGACACAGAAGGGGAGAAGGCGGGTCTCAGCGTCAGACTGCTGAACCACCCAGCCCGCCCATTCCGAGCCAGGCAGGAAGAGGGTGGGGCCTGCAGGCAAATGGCCTGGGGTCATCACTCAGATCTGGCCACCCAAAGCAAGGGCCCTGTGAGCAGGAGGTGAAGCCCCAGGATTGGAGCCAGCAGGCCTGGGACAAGTCAGCCGGGGCAAATCAGCTGGGCCCACAGAGCAGGTTCTCGGGGCCTACAGGAAAGAAGGTAAGCGGAGGCCAAGGGAGGTGAAGCCACAGGGCCGTTGCTCCCTCCCTGAGTGACAAGGCAGGAAGAGGAGGCGGCAGCTGCCTAGACTGTTGCAGGAGGACGGTCACAGACAAGGGACTTTCCCATGGCCGCGGGCAGCCTTGTGAGAGGGAAATGAAACCAAAGAGTGCAGAGTCAAGGAGGTACTCAGCCAGGCCGGATGGAAGGCAGCCAGGATCAGGTACTCCGAGCCTCAGGCTCAGCCTCCTGCTAAGCAGCCCCCCAACCCAAGTCCTGTGTCTGTCTCTGCCTGGACAGACTGCGGTGCGGCCGCGGCGGCTTCTCAGGTGCCTCCTAAGCTCAGCTGCCCACTGGAGGCTGAGGGATGATGAGATCATGGAAAGGCATCTCTGTAGATTTCATCATAAAGACTTGCATAATTCTATAATCAGAACAAGACAGGAAGCTACATGGTCCCTTATGGGAAAAAAAAAAAAAAAGATACTACCCATGTGAAACAAAAATTAAATTGGTCTTAAAATAATTATTATAAGTGGTTTCTAGCATACCTACCACTGTAGTTCAAGATTGAAACAGTTAGGAACCACCATGGCCAGACAGTAGTAGGACAGAAAGCGGGGGTGACAAAACTGGCCCCAGGGCACAGTGAACTGCTCCTCTGTGGTGAAGGTAGGACAGGCCCCAGGGGAGCGAATAGCAGACCCCTTGTAGGGCCCCAACAAAAGCAGAATATTTTTCTAAAATGAGAAGCCTTCTCCAAAGAGAAGGCTAAATCAGCCCTCCAGGCTCACCCACTCTTGGTCAATTCAAAAATCTTCATTTCAGAGGCCACACGAGCTGGGCCTTACATGATTAGTGCCACCCTTCCCCGCCTCCAGGTTTGCCGTAGATACCGTGTTTCCCCCAAAATAAGACCTAGCCCGAAAATAACCAGCCTTGAGAAGTAGACAGCAAAAATGCCAGCCCCAGTCCGCCTATCCCTGCCTTACAGAGGAGCCACTGAGCAAGAGAAAAGTGATGGGACTCAGGACACAGGCGTGTGAGTGACAGAGTCCAGGGACACAGTTGTACAAGAGGAGGATGCACCCAGGATTCTCAGGGAGGGACCCTCACCCAGCCCAGGCATAAGGGTGACATGGCCCCATGCAGAGGGCCACGGCCTGAGCTGCTGGGTTGCTCGGCCAGCTGGGTGCCCAGGAGACAGCGTGGAAGGTGGGAGAGAACTCGGCCCTTCCCGCGGCTGCTTGCAGCTCCTGCTCTTCTCCCTCCCCAGGGGCCTCTCTTCCCTTCCCAGGGGCTGAGAAACGCACCTCGGGGTTGGCACAGAGGGTGAGCAGACCCCAAGCCCCCTGCCTTGGGAGGACACTGCGCATCTGAGTTTTCTCCTTGTTGCACAGAAGGGAGATGCCTCTAGGAGAAGAAACTTTCCGTGTCCAGTTCAACAACGCGCACAAGGTCCCAAAGCCCTACCGCCGCAGGGTGACTTACCTGTGCTACCAGCTGCACGAGGCCAACGGACACCTGCTGACCAAAGGCTGCCTTCGGACCAAGGTGCAGACAGGCTCTGGGTGCGAAGCAGACAGGGCTCAGCCACCCACCTGGGGTGCAAGGACGATAGGTGTCATTCGCGCCTGTGGGTCCTCAGTTGCCACTTGAATGCCTCCTGTCTTCCTGACCTCTGTTGGGCTCCAGCCTGTAGCTCTCCTGCCCAGCACTCTTCCTGCTCCTCCTGGAGAAGTTAAATGTCTGCCAGCCTCCCCTGTCCTTTCACTCCCATGTGCCCTAGAGGCTCCCAGTCACCTCGAGCTGGTGGCCATCCTCCTGCCTCAGCCTCCTGGGTGCTGAGATTACAGGCATGCACCACCGGGCCCAGCTGGTTCAAACATCTTTGGACAGCCCTCAGGCAAGTGTCCCAAATCATGGTCGTAGAGCTTTTGGGCCTGCGCCCTGGAGGAATGGTCTGGCTGACCCCGCTCTGTCTGTGTGCACTGGAATCCTTGTCCAAAGCCTTGAGACCAACCGGGCTACATTAACAAGTTCAAGACCAGCCTGAAGTACAGAGTGAGACCCTGTCTCAAAAAACAAAACAAAAAGTCTTGGGAGCTTTGGGGATGCGGAGTCAGTGGATGAGTGATGGGGGGCAGCTTCTTCCTGTGCTGGGCAAGGGTCCCACACTAGAATATCCATCCCCTCATCCCCAGTCCCACCCACAGAACCTGTGGCCACCGCCTTCTAACCTTCCTTTTATCCACCTGGGACCCCTCCAGAAAGGTCACCACGCAGAAAGTCGCTTTATTAAAAGGATCTCTTCCATGGACCTCGACCGATCCCGGAGCTACCAGATCACCTGTTTCCTCACATGGAGCCCCTGCCCATCCTGTGCCCAGGAACTGGCTTCATTTAAAAGAGCTCACCCGCACCTGCGCTTCCAGATCTTCGTCTCCCGCCTCTACTTTCACTGGAAGAGGAGCTACCAGGCGGGGCTGCACCAGCTGTGCACATCCCAGGTCCCGATCATTGTCATGGGCCATCCAGGTAGGAAGGAGGGACCGTGAGGCACAAGCCACGAGGTGGGGGTGGGCCTGACAGGTGGACAGAGGAGAGCTGGGCAGGGATGAAGTACAGCAGTGCAGCTGAGTCGCGAGAGCTGACACCCCCTGGAAGGCAGATTGAGGGCAGCAAACAAGGCCCCGGGAGAGCAGGTGGCAGGGAGAAGGCCCTGCCTCGGGGTGCGGCTCTTCCTGGCTTCCACTCTTCCCTCTCAGAGTTTGCTTACTGCTGGCACAACTTTGTGGACCACCAGCCAGGGCCCTTTGAGCCCCCCTGGGACAAGCTGGAGTACTACAGCAACTGCATAAAAAGGCGCCTCCAGAAGATCCTGCGGGTGAGCCTGTCACAGCCTCACAGGCCCCCTTGCTGTCCCCTCCCACCTCGTCCCAGCTCCCTCCTCTCCTCTCCATTTCCCCATCTCTCCCACCAGTGACCCCCAAGTCCTCCTTTCCTTCTCCTTAGACGCTCTTGTCACCTGTTTCTCTCAAGGCCTCCTGGTCCTCCTTCCACCACCACCGCCCTAGCCTCTCCCTCCCTCCCTCCCTGCAATTTCTCACCCATAAGCACTCCTAACCCGCCTCTCTCTCCAGTCCTGGGGTGCGGATGACTTCACAGATAACTTCAGGAACTTGCGGCTTGGACCCACCTCACCCCCAGTGGCATGAAGGGACCCCAGACAGCCGCCCCAGCAACATCACGCACAGCTGCCCCCCACAAGCCTGGCCTTTATCCATGTCCAAAAAACCTTTCTTACCTCCTTCATTTATTTTGTTTATTTTTTATAAGTAGGTGTGTAATTTTATAATTTAAAAAAAAAATAAAAATAACTTTAAAGTCCACAAAACCTGGCTTACTTTCTAAGGGAGGAATCAGATCTTCTCATAAAATATATGAGAATAAAAGACTTCTGCAGAACCAAGAAAGACATTTGGTGGAGAGTTCCCTGTTGCGTGTGGAATCACTGGAGTGTTTTGTGCTCCAGCTGCCCTCTGTCCCTTCTCTCTCTAGTATGCGTCTAAATGAGAGTAAAATGCAGGGTTTGGTGGCGTATGTGGGGCGGTTAAAGAGTGTACCTAGGCTAGAACGAGTGCAGAAGGAAATGTACAGAAGCGTACCCCAGGGCACCAGAAGCGGGGACCCACTTGAGCCTGGAGGGCTGCTCTTTATGGTGGGGGACAAGGTGGGTCTCCCGGTGACCTACGGCTCCTCATTCTTGGCTGTGAAGGGCAAACAAGTGGAGTGTGCTTGTGTTCCTGGGAAAGTCTGTGTTCTGACAGCGTGAGATGTTGGCTACTAGCGTATACCAGGGCCTCCCAGTCTGGAAATGTTTTCATTGTCCTACTGTTAGGTCTCCAAACTAGACCTCTGGCCTGGGAGGAAAAAGCTCCCCAAGCCAGTCTGTTATTCACACCTACAGGAGCTCAGCATTCAACAGGAAGCTGGCCCCTGCCACACACAGCTTCACCTCAGAGAGCTGATTCTGTGAAAAACCACAAGAGGCATGCTGTGCCTGCCGGCACCCCCTGTACCAGCACCTCCCTATCATCTAGACTAAGACCTCTTACCCAGAGACCCCAAATTTTGTACCCCTGTTGACAATGCCCTCTCCCCGGCTCCTATCCATTCTGCCTGTCAGGGCCAATGACCTTCTCATCCTTGGCCCCACCACACCCGGTCTGAAATGAAGATACTGCAGTTTGCTTCAGTTCCGCCTGTTTTGGTGATCTCAGTCACGCTCCAGGGCTTTAGCCTCTCATCTGTGCCCCATGTGAGGAGGGTTGAGGTCCTCTTCCAGGGTTCGACCTCCCCTGCCTCAAACCCCACCTGAGCGCACTGGGGCCACTCAACACCGAGCCTCTGACCAACCCGCCTCGGCTTGCTGCTAGGCTCGATCCTCCTTTTCAGGTTGGGTAAGTGCCACTCTTATCTCAGTTCTACTTTTGCCTTTTCGATCTGCCTCCTTCTTTCCTGCTCCTGTTGGCCTTTAAGATTCACAGTGGGTTGTGTGCCCCAAAACCCAGGCCTGGTCACACTCAGCCTCCGGAAGTCAGACTCCCTGGCAGTCGCCCGATCTCCGGGCTGCCTGACTTGGTCGACCGCCGACTCTCAGGTCGACCGCCTCAGGAAACTGACTGGAGACAGCCTCTCTTTCCCGAGAGGCGCACTTCAGTTGTGATCTAGAGTCAGCGTGGGTAACCTGCCCTATTCAGTCCCCGCCTTGTCTCCTCTGCTGTGTGCTTTTAGGAACCTTAAACCTCTCCATCTCACTCCCGACCTGAAACCAAAGTGCCCTATTTGCTTCTGCAACACAGCCTGACCAACCTACAAGTTAGACAACCAGTCCAAATGGCCAGTTAACGGAACATTCAACTTTCTAATTCTCCAGGATCTGGACAGTTTCTGTCGTCAGCTTGGGAAGTGGTAAGAGGTTCCATATGTCCAGGCGTTCTTTGCCCTCTGCAGTGTCCCTTCTCTCTGCACCTCCTGTAACCCCTCCAAACTTTTACCCCTCTCTACACCTCCCTCCGCTCCTCTGGACTATGATTCCGCCTTCACTGCTGACCCTTCTTCCCTTGAGCAGCCGCCTTTCCCCGTCCCTCAGCTGCTCCCCTTCCCCTCCTGAACCTCTCTCGGCCACAACTCTGTCCCCTCCAGTCCCGTTCCGACTCCCACCTCTCACCACCAGCCCATCAAAATCTGACCTCTCTCCCCACCCTCTCCCACACTCGCTCTGGACTTTGCTTTGGGCCTCCAACAGCTGCTGCTCAACTCCCACTCTGTGAGGTTGCCAGGGCCGAAGGCATTGTCTAGGTCCATGTTCCCTTCTCCCTCATGGACCTCTCTCAAATCGGTCACCACCTCGACACTTTGTGTTGGACCCCTGTACCTCTATCCAAGAGTTCCTATACCTGGCTCAGACCTGTGATCTTACCTGGGATGCCATCAGTGTCACCCTTACTTCCACTCTCTCTCCCGAGGAATGAGAACGTATTTTTACTTTGGCCCAGGCATATGCCGATGACTGCCGAAGACACGAGCCCTATCTGAGGAATGGGGCTACTTCTATCTCCCGGGCCCTACCTCAGTGGAACTTCAACCTCAGAGATGAGGAAGGCACTTGCCCCTCAAAGAGGGCATAAGACTATATAGTCCCTGCCTTGTAGAGAGACTTAAAAAGGCAGCTCATAAGTCTATTTATTATGACAAATTCAAAGAGATTACACAAAACAAAGATGAAAATCTGGGCCAATTCCTGTCCCGGCTGGCAGCCACTTTGAGAAAATTTACCACTCTCAACCCAGAGAACCAGAGGGAAATTAATCCTCAAGATGCATGTTATTACACAATCAGCTCCTGACATTCGCAAAACCTCCAAAAAAATTGAGGCAAGCCCTCAGACCCCACAACAGGAACTAATGGCCCAGGCCTTCAAGGTCTTCAACAGCCGAGACGAGGCTGCCCACAAGCGGTATAGCTCAGATCTGCAGTTACTTGCCTCGACCATACAAAGCCCAAAACAAGAGCTCACCTCAGGAAGACAGTCCAGGAGGACAAAAGGGGGATCCACTCCCCTGGGGCCCTGCTTTAAGTGTCAGCAATTAGGCCACTGGGCCAAAAAATGACCCAACCCCAAGCCCTCCCCAAACCCTGTCCCACGTATGGGGGCCCACACTGGAAGTCGGACTGTCCTTCAACAACCAGATTTGTGGCAGGGCTCCACTCCCAGGGCTCCCCGCCAGACAACCCAGCACTATCCCACCTGATTGGTTGGGCTTCTGATGACTGACACACCCAGAAGACCTCAGATGCCCCCTGGACCACCACAGCTACCGAGCTTTGGGTAAATCTTGTGGTGGAAGGTAAGGCTGTTCCATTTTTAATTGATACCAGGGGGCAACTCATTCTACCCTCCCTTCCTTCCCTGGACGCCAGCTTTTGGCTGACATTTCTGTTGTGGGGATTGATGGCACCATATCCAGGCCTCTAAAAACAACCCCGCTCCTCTGCCAGTTACAAACCCATATATTCTCCGTGCCTTCCTGGTCATTACAACCTGCCCGGTTCCGCTTCTCGGAAGAGATGTGCTAATAAAACTTCTGCCACTTTGACTATGCCCAGCACCTCCCTGTGCCTCACTGCTCTCTGCTCTCTACACCCTATTCCAAGCCGCCACCAACTGTCTCCTTCAACCCACGTATCTGGGACACTTCCACCCCCTCAGTCGCTACATACTGACCCCTCCTCCTCATCCCCCTAAAAGACAATAACCCATACCCAGCCCAGCGCCAATACCCCCTGCCCTCAGGGGTATCCAACCCATTATCACCCGCCTTCTCACACCCAGTCGCCTTATAACCACCAGTTCCCCCTTCAACACCACCATCCCTGCCTCCCGGAAATCCGACTGCTCCTATTGTTCAGTCCAAGACCTCTGACCCATCAACGGAATCGTACTCCCATTCTACCCCATAGTATCTAACCCTCACACTCTCCTCTCGTCCATACCCCCCTCCACCATTCACTGTACCATCCTGGATCTCAAAGATGCCTTCCTTACCATACCCTCACACCCAAAATCACAGCTACTCTTTGCTTTTGCCTGGACCGACCCAGACACACACCAATCACAACAGCCTACTTGGACGGCTCTGCCCCAAGGCTTCCGAGACAGCCCTCACTACTTCAGCCAGGTCCTCGCTGATGATCTCCTCTTTTTCTGCCCCTTTGCCTCCTAGTTTCTCCATTACATCAACGATTTACTCCTTTGCAGCCCCTCTGCCACCTCCTGTCACCAAGACATCCTCACCTTCCTCCAGCACTTAGACACCAAGGGATATCAAGTCTCCCCCTCCAAGGCCCAAATCTGCCAGACCTCTGTTCAATATTTGGGCATCATCCTACACAAAAACAGCAAGGTTCTACCCCAGGAGCGCATATAGTACATCCCCCAAATCCCATCACCCACCTTGGTCCAACAGCTCCTTTCCTTCCTAGGAGTCCTAGGCTACTTCTGTCTGTGGGTTCTGGGCTTCTCCATTCTCACCCAGCCCCTCTGTGAACTCACCCATGACAATCCCTCAGCACTCACAGACACCAAGGCCTTTCCCCATGCATCATTCAAAAAACTCAAGCAAGCCTTATCCCCAGCTACAGCCCTCTCCCTCTTGGACCCCAGCCACCTCTTCTTTTTACACACAACAGAACACAAAGAGTGTGCAGAGGCAATTCTAACCAAGGCTCCACACCCGTCCAGTTGCCTTCTTCTCCTGGCAACTGGATCCAACCACAAGGGGATGACCTTCTTGCCTAAAGGCAGCAGCTGCTGCACTCATGCTCCTAGAAGCCAAAAATATCACCCTCCGTGCACCAATCTTGTTATATGCCCCCCATGATTTGCAAGCCCTTTGCTCTTCCTTCCACATCCCTCACCTACTCTCAGCCCCACAACTCATACAACTTTATGCTGTCTTTATTGAGAGCCCCATGATCACCCTGGGCCCCCCAGGTCCTGCCTTCAACCCTACAGAACACAGATCACAATTCAAAATCAGGCCACTCCTGGGAACATGACTGCCCTTCTCTCTTACACTCCCACACCAAACTCTTCCCCCACATTTCAGATCTCCCCATACTGACACCTCAACACACTTTGTCCATAGATTGCAGCTCTTATAAGGCTTCAGCTTCCTTGACAGCAAAGGCAGGATATGCCATTGTCACAACAGATGCAGTTATCGAGGTCCAAGCCCACCACCTCACAGCAGGCTAACTCATTGCCCTCACCCAAGCCTCACTCTGGCAAAAGGAACCACAGTCAGCATTTACACTGACTTAAAATATGCTTTCCATATCCTCCACAATCATGCAACAATCTGGACTGAGGGGGGCTTC